CCACCAGGACGAGCAGGAACAAAAGACGGCAAACTTCCTTAACGTTGACCAAGGCACGATGTGACCTCCTTTACTGAAAAATCAGCAGTATATATTCAATCATTATATTATATAAACTTCAGAATGGAACAAGACGTCAGGAATGAAAATGAAGTGACACATTAGTAAGTGCTGATTGATGACTTAGCAGAGTAAAAATGGACTCAGTCACATGCCCAGATTTATGATGAATTGAGCAGATTTTTGGCACAGTCGTCTGTGTGTGGTACAAACTTCAGCTGCCTGAGCTCTACTCACAAACGGTTGTTATTAGGGCCTGTTTCAGTTCAGTCATAGACTCGCTTCAGATTCTACCACGTGACAAGCCTCACTGGGTCAGTCTACTGAGGAAGACCAGAGTCACTGGTCGAAAGTTCTGGGTGAGAGAACTTCTTTGTGTTGGATCTAAAATATAAACTTTAAACAACATTGTGAAGTCATCACACTGACCTTTCTAAAGGCGGGTCCCACCAGTCTGAGATCATTCAGCCAGGAGTACGGCAGGTGCCCAACAGGGTACGTCAGCGTTAGCACAGCCACTGCCTACAGAGGAAACAAGCATGGCTACAGTTATACACAGGGTACGTCAGCGTTAGCACAGCCACTGCCTACAGAGGAAACAAGCATGGCTACAGTTTTACACAGGGTACGTCAGCGTTAGCACAGCCACTGCCTACAGAGGAAACAAGCATGGCTACAGTTTTACACAGGGTACGTCAAGGTTAGCACAGCCACTGCCTACAGAGGAAACAAGCATGGCTACAGTTATACACAGGGTACGTCAGCGTTAACACAGCCACTGCCTACAGAGGAAACAGGCATGGCTACAGTTATACACAGGGTACGTCAACGTTAGCACAGCCACTGCCTACAGAGGAAACAAGCATGGCTACAGTTATACACAGGGTATGTCAGCGTTAGCACTGCCACTGCCTACAGAGGAAGCAGGCATGGCTACAGTTATACACAGGGTACGTCAACGTTAGCACAGCCACTGCCTACAGAGGAAACAAGCATGGCTACAGTTTTACACAGGGTACGTCAGCGTTAGCACAGCCACTGCCTACAGAGGAAACAAGCATGGCTACAGTTTTACACAGGGTACGTCAACGTTAACACAGCCACTGCCTACAGAGGAAACATGGAACCAGATTTATACAAGCATGAAACACTGGGAAGGTTTTGAGTTAACACTTATAACACTCTGTTCCGAGCTTTCTGACTAATTTGCATTATCTTGTCTTGACTTGTCTAACTGACTTTTGTCCCACGTGGCCGCCCAAAGAAGAGATGGGTGGATAATGTTAAGGAAGACATCTGCAAACTGAAGCTTCAAAAGGCTGACCACAGGACAGAACCAGCTGGAGAGCAGCAATCAGGCCAGGGCAACATTCCATATCCAACCCTCGAGCTTAATGGGGAATGCGAGACGATAAACGGATAGTGAGTGAGTGTATGTGACTCACGTCCACGGCGGCTTGTCCCCCCAGATCGCGTGACATCAGCAGGTTGCACACCGGCCGGCTGACCTTCTGCGTCGCGGCCACCATCGCCAGCGGCCACCAGAACTTCAGCGCTCGCAGCACAGTAAAACTCTCCTTCGCTTCCTGGGGCTGCAGCTGGGCCATCCTGGGGAGGACCTGAGAGAGAGAGAGAGAGAGAGTGAGAAAGTGAGAGGGAGAGTTACACCAGAACTTCAGCGCTCGCAGCACTGTAAAACTCTCCTTGGCTTCCAGTGGTTCTCGACTCATCCATGGGAGCACCTTTGATAGAATTATTGTGATATTGAATTTGTTCATAATCATACATGTTTGAAAAAGAGAGAAGAGATCCAGTTGATATAGAACTGATATTAGCAGAGCACTGTAACAATTGTTCCTTGTATCCTTGTACCTTAATAGCTAACTTAGTGCATTTGGCCCATGTTGGCCATGAATATGCAATAAAGTTCATAGTCATAGTCATTATGAGAAGTATTAAAGGTAAAGAGTAGCTATCGATGCTGTTTGAATTTTACAATTGTAAGAGGACTGCAAGAAGAGTAGTGATAAAAATAATAATTGTTTATTGCAAATTCTTGCCCAAGGACTAATTGCAGCAACAGAAGAAACGTGGTATAAAAAATGTATTGTCACTAATATTGGAGATTCTTTAAATAAACAAACAAACAGACCTTCCACAGGAAGCCGGCCAGCATGATGGCAAAGCGGGTCAGGATGCCGGCATAACCTGCCAGGATGGGCACCAGCAGGGGGTCTTCTGTCTGTAGGCTGGTCTCCATCAGTCCTAACGTCACTACAACCTGCACAACAGCCACAACAGGGTTACAATCAATATGTTCTGTTCATCTGTTCTGCAAAGAAATGATGGTAGACATGAAAAAGAGTCTCAGAGTACATGTATTTTCCCTGCCATGTGGACAGTGTGTAAAAGAGAGTTACATGTATTGGCCCTGACCTGCAGTCAGTGTTTACTAGTAAAAGTACAAAGTCATGTAGCTCCTTTACCTGTAGGCAAACGTCAGCGATGGATGCGGCTGCCACCACCACGGTGTGTCTGTGCTGCAGAGTCACGCCTGCCAACATCCAGGACTGGGGAATGAGGAACAAAAACAAATAAGTACCACACTGTCTCAAACCCACATCCCAGACTAAGCGGGGAACAGAGAACAATTACCAGAACCATATTACAAATTCATGCCAGCATCAAGGATTGGAGAACAGAGAGCTTCAGAACCAACCAATTACTCACACTTAACAGGTCAAGTATTTCTCACTTCTAAATACAGAGTGCCAAATGAATTTCACATACAACATACAGCTGCCTTACCAGTACCAGTTCTACAGGACAGCTTTAAAGCCTAATACGTACCAGTCCCTCCAGCAGAAACATGCAGCTAGCCTTACCAGTACCAGTTCTACAGGATATCTTGCCTTTAAATACCAGTTCTACAGGAAAGTAGGTAGGGTCGGGGTGATCACACATTCTTACAGAAAATCTTACCAGTCACGTCGATGAAGGTTAGACATCCAGGTAATACGATACGCCAAATAGCAGTTACTCAAGCAACTGGATATGATTTTGGAAACGGTCAGACATTTCAGCTAGCATCCACTAGCTTTCGTCAGTGACTGTGAGACCTCTGGTTTGATACTAGCTGAAACGTCTGACCATTTCCAAAATCATATCCAGTTGCTTGAGTAAGTTCTGCTTTTTGGCTTAAATCTTACCAGTCCCTCCAGCAGAGGGAACATCTGCCTTACATGTAACCAGCCCTACAGGACAGCTAGCCATACCAGTCCCTCCAGCAGTGTACACGCATGTACCAGACCTACAGGAGAGCTAGAGCCTTACCCGAGTTTATAGAAAAGGATGCAGGATTAGGATGATAACACATCTAGCCTTACGTACCAGTCCCTCCAGCAGTGGGTACCCAGCAAGCAGTAGCATGGCTCTGCGGGTTCCATTCCCGACTATCGAATCCACCTGGTGGGCTTTCTCGAACAGCAGGTGTCCCACGGGGGTCAGGGCTGGGGGGTACACAACAGGGGGGTTAGGGCTGGAGGGGGTACACAACAGGGGGGGTTAGGACTGCAGGGGTACACAACAGGGGGGTTAGGCCTGCAGGGGTACACAACAGGGGGGTTAGGACTGCAGGGGTACACAACAGGGGGTTAGGGCTGGGGGAGGATATCAAGAGCCACACTTCATCCAGAACTGGGCCATATGCATAATCACGCTCAGGGACAGTTCTGTTCAGATCCATGCAGGGGCAAATCTATGTTGAACTTCTTGGATATGCCGTCAGACTGTCCAGGAACCGTGCCTGATCCTAACCCTAACCCATTCAGGCATAGGACTAGATAGCCATGGTTCTGGATAAAAATAGAGACTATCCAGAATCGTGCCTGATCCTCAAACTCTAACCCAATCTGAGGCTTAGGTCTGGACTAGATAGGCATGGTTCTGGATACAATAGTGCATCAATGTCTGCATGTCAAGTTATAGTAACATTATAGAGCTCTTAGTCTAATAAGCCAATATGGGAAGGCCATATCTGACATCAGACATTCCCCGTACCTATGACCAGGTGTAAAGTGTAGCCCCAGGCCATACCTATGATCAGGTGTAAAGTGTAGCCCCAGGCCATACCTATGATCAGGTGTAAAGTGTAGCCCCAGGCCGTACCTATGACCAGGTGAATCCCTGCGGTTAAACAGCCCAGAGCGGTTGTGGAGAGCAGCGCCGCGCGTCCGTCCGTCCGTCCATGCACCAGCACCAGCCCCACGTTCTTCAGCTCAAGCGCCGGGCCCGCCAGCACCTTGGTAAAGGTGAACGCCAGACCGTAACTCGCTGTCACGTTCTCCGAGAACGCTACGCCGCGATTCAGCGCCTGGGGAGAGGGAGGTACAACAGTTATCACGTTCTAGCATCAAAGTATGAGCGGTTCAGGCCAGGAACTTGGTGAACATGAACACCAGACCGTAACTTGTGGGCATCACGTTCTCTGAGAATGCAACACCGCGATTCAGCGCCTGGGGAGAGGAAGATACAACAGTTCACTTGGG